TTCTACCCATGTATTACTTGAGAATGGATTAATTGTTTTCTTCCATGTACAGAGTGGGTGTGATTGTTCACTGGATTGTGAGTAGGTATTTAAAAATCATTCTTGGTAGTCAGGAAGAGCAAGTATTTGAATGCAAACCTATCACCTTTGTAATAAGTGTGTAGAATCTGTTTTGAGATATGAGTTGTTTTGCCTTCATGTAAAGCTGATATAGCATACAAGTTTAAAGTATCTAACTATGTTTTCCTTGTTTTAGATTGTGTTTTTGGAACATACTGATCAGCAAGAGCAACTGGCTAAGAAGTGGGAGTTCAAAACATCTGACATAAGGGAACTGAGTAACCAGTATGTGTTTTGTTTAGATTAATTTCAGCAAATGCAGGTTATTCTTGAGTGAAGTAATGCGAGTCTCTGTGAATACAATTTGGGACGGAGCCCATTAAATCCAATCTCATGGGAAAAACTCCCTTTCAGCTCTGTGAGAGCTCTTAAGTCAAGAGCTGCCTGCTTTCTGGATGGGACTTAGAGGGTGGACAGTCTGTGTGCTTTTTTGTATTCCTTGGTTTGGGACTGCAGCTCTGGCTGAATTGTGCTGGCTGATTTACGCTGCACAGAACAAAATGCCATGTTTAGCTTTCACACATGACCTCTTCTGTGCTCACAGAAGTAAATGCCGTTCTTTCTTGAGATTACATTTTATATACATTTTGTTAGCAGCAGGTTGTGCCTAACTAGCTTGAAACTCTAGACTTAGTAAATGTAGGTAACACTAACACTGTAGATATAAAATTCCATTGTTTGGGCTTTGACACACTCCCTAATAAAAACTCATAAAGTTTGAAGATTTAAACCTTCTAAACACAGAGCCTTGGATTTCTAACTGTATTGCAGCTGAAGCATTTCTTTCTTCTTCAGCCAGCAAAATCACCTACCTTTCTAGCGAAGTGAAATACTTTTGGATTGCTCCTACTATGCTTCACATGTAGCAGCATGACTGTAAATGACCTGTGGCTTAAAATCTAGAGCTGCAGCATCATTTTAGTGTTCACTTGTTAAAACATCTGTATGCTTCATTGGAAGTCTAATTATACAGAATATATGAGTCATCAGATGTTTTCTTCACTTTAAATAGCCTGAGGAAAATGGAAGGTGCTGGGAATATGAACCTGATTGAGAAAGATCTTTCAGCATTTCTAGCATGCAGGAAAACAGGAAGAAGAGAAACAGCAAAGAAACAAAAATTGCTGTTAATTCAGTAGTCAGGGAGAAGGGGAGTGAGAGAAATTTTACACTGTGTGGAGTTCCAGCACAAAACAAAATCATTATAGCAACTTCCTGGTAATGTTGATAGGTTCATCCCTTTTATTGCATGAACACTACAAGACAACAAATGATATTGCAGTTCCATTGTAAATATGCCTTTCCTGTCAAGATATTGAGCATAGATTTTTTTCACCAGTGTCTGCTTCTGCATTTGTAGACACAGTGGCTGTTCTTCCATTAAACCTTGCAAGTCATTGATTGAAAAAAAAAAAAAATGTATATATATATAGACATGTATATAATGTAGAGGAAACCTGGGATATTAGAAAGTTACAGTTTTGTAAATAAAATGGTCTGTCAGCTAGAGGCATTCCAAATATATCCGTACTAGGAAGCAAAACTGTGCTCAAGTCTTCTCTTTTTCAGGTGGAGTCTACAGTAGAGTATTTTTAGTTACTGTGAAATCAGTTTGCCTTTATTTGTTGGTATTTAGTCTGGGTAAATATTAAAGATAATTTGATTTATCATACTCTTATATTGTATTTCTCTCAGTTAGCTACATATAAGTCTATGTAGAAGTTATTATTCAATTGTGTCATACTGTAGAAGGAATATGAGTAGAGGTACAGTAGGAGTTGATAGGCTGATGCTGAAGAGGAAGATTAGTCTGTACTTGCCGTTTACTCTGGTGGATTTTGCTCAAACATACTGTTTAAAGCAAAACTATTTACCATGGAAAAATTTTTGACATTTTTTACTATTGTAATTTTCTTTCCTTAGCGAATTCTTCATGCCAGGGATGGTTGATACACACATTCATGCTCCTCAGTATTCATTTACTGGCACAAGAGTAGATCTACCTCTTCTGCAGTGGTTGACTACCTACACATTCCCAACAGAAGCCAAATACAAAGACAATGGTTTTGCAGAAGAAGTGTACACCAGAGTTGTTGTAAGTACTGCAAATGTCATTTATGGACTTGATGACATTTGTATTTGTGAAGTATATGTATGTTTTCAGAAGGTCAGCAGAAATAGTACAGCGTGTTTTAATGTCATGAAAAATAGGTAAAACAAACAGTATAGCATTGTTCTAATGGCCAGACAAGACTGTCCCCCTACTAGTTCCAGTCTTGTTCTGCTGTTGCTGATAAGAGAGTTGATTTAATCATATGGTTCACAATGAAATGTTTATAATATTTTCTGATATCTGAGTACAACAACCAACATTTGTGAGTACTCTCAGAACTAGTATAGCCAGCAGGTGCTGACAACCTCAAGGCAGAAATAACCAAGCATGGTAAAAAAAAAAAAAAATTGGAGGATATTTCCTTTTCTGCACAGAAAGCCTCTATTGCAGAAAGCCTCTATTCTGCAAAGACTACGTGAAAGAGAAGATGCTTCTCACAGGCAACAAATCTGAGGTGTTTTGGATTAATTAAGGAAGTTGTTTCTACAGCTGAGGCCCTTGTAGAAGGAATATCTTTCACTGCAGGGGCTTTAGATGACGTCTGTTAATTGTATTGTGGCACAAAGACAGGGACTATGTTTGAACTAGACTTGTTCTGAGCACTATAAAAGCTTTAAGGTCAAATTCCACTTGATGAACAATAAGCAACTAGGTCACACTGCACAGTACTGATTCTGTCCTATAACTGAAATGTATCCCTTAATATGTGGACTGAAATATCTTCAACAGATTAAATTATTTGGCTAGCATAAGTTACGTTGCATTTGTGTAGTACTGTGATGATGTGTGTTGTCAAAATAATAACATACTGAACTTGAAATAAACAGTTATACTGTCCTTGCCACACTTTTTTTTTTTTTTTTAAATTACTATCTGCCATAAAAAAAACAAGTAGGAGCAGCTTGGTCATAAATTCTAGTGACAAACACACATGCCTTCAGCTACTTAAAACATGGAGGTGATCTCACCTTCCAGCTGTGTGCCTCAGTATACTGTTACTGTCTCTATCAGTTCAGACTGGGTGGCATCAGTACAGCTAAAGTGCTCGCTGTGCAAGGTGTTTAACATCACGAGGAAAAGAACTGCTGGTGGAAGTTAGTTGTAGGAGGTTCAACACAATGGTTAGGCTCTCCCCATGTGTATCAAATAGGACAAGGTCAGGAAAATGTCTTCACCGCCAAATGCTGCAGAATACCAGTTGCTCTGCAATGTTTCATGGGGCTGATAATAATGTTCAACTGTTAGAAATGGGACTAAACCTGCAGGGAGCAGATATTTTTTTTAATATGTGTCTCTGTACTTTTGCAGTTGTAATGAAAATATAGTGATATTTTTAAAATCAAAATTCTGTTTCCAATAAATACTTTCTATACTTGGTAAAAGAAAGAAATTTGGTGAAATTTGCCAGATTTTAGCTGGAACCTCCTCTGATCCTTCAGTTTTTTGGAAATCCAATTCTTCATGCTGATCTTTTGGAAACAATGTTTTTAGATTTTATTTAACAATGCTGTTAGGAATCCAGAAGTAGAGAATTCTGTGTTTTAAAGGCTAAGAAAGTCAAAGGTAGTTTGTCCCAGTAATCACATTGTTATTTTTGAGACTCATTTTAGGAACCCTTAAAGACATTTAAAAAAATATTTGCTTTAATTTTAATTTTGTATGGAAAAGACAGAGCTTGGCCTCATGTTTGTCAAATAATTAGCTCTAGACATTCTCAAAAGTTGCATTGGATGTCCCACCTTCTATCTCATTTAAAAAAAAATAAAATCTCAAATTACATTGTAGCCAGAATCAAAAAATGTAATTGAAACCTGTAAGCTGGATGGATAGTCAATATAGCATGCATTAGTCCCAAGATCAAGTGAAGCTGTAAATTTCATCATGACTTAGTGTAGCTAAATGGCTCTTCATTTACTGTTAAGTCCTCTAAGAGTAATATGAACAGGTATCAACCACCCTCTCCTTTCAAATGGTATAATTAGATAAATAACTAAATTACAGTCTGAGCAGTTGTTATCAGTTTACTTCTACCTTGAAGTTTGTTACTTTGTATTCAGGGATAACAAAGGGTTTTTATACATGAAAACCTGGCTGTTTTTCCCAGCTACATCAGGTGGCCATATGAAAAACACTACTTTTTCCCAAAAGCTTTGCTTTGCTAATGTTGGGTAAGCAATGCTTCACTATGAAAATTGGAGAGCCTTTCAAAACTAGGAAATAACATAAATCACTGGTTGTTTATATTTCTAAATATGAGTCAGAATTTATATCTAGTTTGAGTGAAGGAAATGTAGACTGGTTTCTATGGGTTTAGCCATTGTTAAAATCCTGTATGCATTTGGAAGAGGAATTTTTGTATTTATTAACACTCAGACTTAAAAAAGCTATTATGAAATTAAAAATCTATATTTTACCTTCCCACTTCCCTGCACAATTTCGCAATAACTAAGTGTTCTCACAGTTTGAAATCAGACTGCCTGTTCTGCATTTTGGCAGCTTGACTTTTTTTTTTTTCCTCAGACATTTGAAACTGATTTCTTTTTATAGAGACGAACTCTAAAGAATGGCACGACTACAGCTTGCTACTTTGCAACAATTTACACAGATACTTCTCTTCTTCTTGCTGAAATTATAGGTAAGAGTAACGGTGAGTTTTGAAGGATGTTGTGCAGACTGTGTTAGTTAAAGGAAATAGAACTTAGGAGTTTTAGGCTAGCTAGGCATCTATCTTTCTACTAACTTGTTTTTTTATTCATTGTATCTGTCATAATGTGTCCCCAAAATCCACCCTAGTTACCCTTGTTCACTTAACCGCCTCTCTCCAGCTGTTGTTTCTGGTAGTCTCTTCATTCCCAAATCAGCTGCTGGCTGAGCTTGAATTAGGTCTGCTGGAGTTGCTCTTCAGCTGCAGTTCTCTGCTCTTTCTAGCCTTTTGCCATTTGAGGATTAAAGGGCTGAATGACACGAGATGCAGTCAGTGCATTAATTTCCTGAAACTCTGAAGTTTCAGCTGAGAATCAACATCAAAAATCTCCACACACCCTCGGAAACCAGAACAGTGGGAGTTGCGTCAAGATCTTATCCCTCCTTTCTGTTCACTTCTGCAAATGCCTGCTGTTTGAGAGAGTTGTTATTCTTGCAGGATTTCTCAAGGCTCAGCCAGCTCCCAAAGCAGAGCAAGTTAATGAGCATCTCAGTTTCCATCAAAATTTCCCTAGTCTTTCTGGTTTTGTAGGG